AATAAATGCAGTTATCAAAAAATCTGATTTATGGAATTAATTATAACTCTAGGTAATGATATTACCTTCAACCCATTTTTAATGTATACAAATAAGGCCATGGGTATTTTTCTAAGCTAACCACTGGGATCTGATTTTCTAATAAGTTAGGCAGAAGTACTGTTATTTCCCCCCCACTGACCATGTGCCAATAAAATGATCTGCTACAGATTTCAAAACACAAAAGACGCTACAACCATGTGAAAGGCATGTATCACCAGCATACATGATGACGGATGAATCCCACAGACGCAATGAGCAGTGCAAGGAACCAGATATAAAAAGACACATGCTGTCTGAGTCCACTTTTCTCAAGGTCAAGAATAGGCTAACTACAGGATTAGCCTATTCTTGAACTTGATAAAACTGCGGCTCTCGAGCCACATGCGGCTCTTTGGCCCCGTGAGTGTGGCTGTTCCACAAAATACCACTGCCTGGGCCAGTCTATGTTGAAGAAGTGGCGTTAGAAGAAGTTTAAGTTTAAAAAATTTGGCTCTCCAAAGAAATTTCAGTCGTTGTCCTGTTGATATTTGGCTTTGTTGACTAATGAGTTTGCCGACCACTGGGCTAACCTAATCTATGATAAAATCTAATCTGGAGAGAGAACAGTTGTTGCTTATCTAACTGGGCACAGGTTACACAGGTGTGTGCGTATGTAAAGCGTCACCTAGCTGTTCACTTAGTGTACATTAGATGGATGCTTGTGTACATCTCTGTGATCCACCTCAACTGGGAAAGAAAAAAAAAAGCAACACATTGCTTTCAGGTGTCTTTTAAGGTTCAATGGCAAAATTAAGAAAACCATAGCACACTAAGACTTACGGCAGTTACATGTGTCCACACTATTCCTAACTTCTTCTAACTAGAGAATCCCTCATTAGTTAGTACTTCCAAGAAATCACTTCTGGACGGAAAGAACAGCCTCCTGCACGGGAGGAATTACTGAAAATGCCAGTGCTCACATTCACAGAGGTTTTACCATGTGCCAAGCGCTTTCCTTTCATTATCTCTTGTAATCCCCAACAGTGGTTAGAGATACTATTGTTATGATCCCCATTTGGTAGAACAGAAAGCCAAAGCTTAGGTCAAGATCACTGTGCAAGCTCACATAAATAAAGAGGTGAGCCAGTCTGTAACAAGAATAGCTGAGCGGCAAGCTCAATGTCAACTTCTTAATTCTCTTGTTTGTACTAGGGTGCTATAAAAAACCAAGCATGCAGTTACAAGCAACAAAACATGAGCAGAATATAAAACCTGAAGTTCAATAACAAATCTGTACCTTTTTTTTTTTTTTGTCCTCTCAAGTGTAAGGAACGTTACAGTTCCTTAAATTCTATGATTAAAGATACATCACTGGTTCTCATGAATTGAAGTCCTTACTCACATTACAACTGATATATAGAAAAATATATTCTTTGGGGTCGCTTTTTATTATCTGAGGACTATCAAAATACATCACACAGCAAAGCAACTGAACAACTCATGAACCAAGACAGGCACAATGCTAACCACAGTGTTCACTCCAATTCGTTCAAGAGTCCTTCAATGTGGCCATGCTTAGTGGAAGGCATGACCTGGATTAAGGTGGAAAAAATTTTTAAACATATTCTCTAAAAGGCTTCTTTATTTTCTAAACAGTGTATTGTGAGGAGAATTTAGTAGGAGTGCGTGGTAATACATGATATACAACATGATGCAAAGCAGGGACAAAATATCAAATTAACCATCAAATAAGCTACTGCACAATCTTCTGCATTCCTGGAAACCTACAAGCAGTAGAGTTCAGATTCATGTTTATTCTCAAAAGATGAAAATCAAAACTATGGCATCCAAGATTCAGAACTACTCTTCCTAGAAAAGAACATAAGAAACAAACTGGGCTAACATTCTGAAAGTGTATCCAAAAATTATATGGGGGTAAGGAGTGAGGGGGGGGCACCAAATTGGAAGATCCACTAATATTTCCCAAAAATTTTACTCCAAAAAATGTTTACAGGATACTTTTAGTAGATATATTTTCATTTACTCGCGGCTGCTAGCAAATCTACAAAGCAATTCCTTAAAAAATAGACACTACAAACCAGAAAGGATTCTTAAAAGACAACAGGAGAGAGCAATCCCCTAAATGAATTTAAATTCTATAGCAGAACAGAAACACAGTAAAATCATAGAAAAACAAAAGAGCAAACTAAAATATGCCTGTTCAAACAAGCGTCTCACCTCTGCAAAAACGATTTGCTTCTCATAAAAGTCAGATTTAGCTCTCACTTCAAAAAGTTAGTGAAATAATACATGCGCCCTGGCAGGCGAGACCAAACGGTAACACAATTTTACGTGCTTATCCATAGATCGTTCAGAGAAAACTTACCCAACCTGCAACGTGTATATGCTTGTGCTTCGGAGGGAAAGCAGAAAAATGACTTTCTGTACTGAACAGTGGCGTTCGCTTCAGTGCGAAAAGCACACACGGCCACAGAGCTGGCTGCTTGCAGGAAAGTCCTGACCAGCAATCTGCCTCTGGGTTGGGCTCTTCTCTTATGAGATAAGCTGTTAAGTCATGCCTTGATTTTAGATCTGCTAACATATGGAGTCTTCTAACGTAGCCTCTCTCCGCCCCTTCCCTCCTCTCCCCCCTCACGGCTGCTCCACTCCCTCTGCACACACACACACACACACACACACACACACACACACACATACAAAAAAGGCACTGCAGGGCAGAAATTCCTCAGGTGCTCGCTAATGGAATTCCCAGGGTCTTGGAGCCGCTTCGGGGATCAAGAGATCTCATAGCCCCTGCTGGGGTAAGGAGCAGCGAGTCTGTTCCATTTAATCAAATACAGAATGAATTTTCAGCTCTATTCACTAGCTTGTCTCCAGGGCTCTCAAAAGGCACCAGGCAGCGAGAATCACACACATGTGGCTCTTTTAGGCAAGTATAATTAGTTTGATTTTAAAAAGCCACATTAATAATATCACCTCAGGACCATTATTCAGGGGACACATGACAATGATACTGTATGTTTTAAGCCTGACAATGGGGGAAAGAGCACAAACAATGACGGAAAACTTGGAGGATTAAAAAAAAAACAAAAAAAAAAACAACCACGCCAGGTTTTTCATTTAATTGTAATCCAATATTTTTAAAGTGATTAAATATATTCCATACACTTCATTTTAGTTAAAAAATAGCAGGTAAAGCCCTCCAACCTATTATCTTGAAAGTGAATCAGTAACATCTATACAACAAAACTTATAAATGAAATGTTTATAAATAAAGGGAATGTTTACACACAATATAAAATTGTACATAAAAACAATAAAACATTACTCTCAAATGTTTTATTTGAGAATAATCCAAGATAACAAAACTTCTTGGGGAAAAAGCACCCATCAAAAACTGTAAATCAAGTCCTTCAAAGCAATGTATTTAGCAACCAGGCTCCGAATTCCCTTTCTAATCTAATTAGCTGCTATTAAGTGGTAAGATCATCTGCCTAAATACTACCTGGCAGACAGCTCATCTACTCTTCTGATGTCTTCCCTGCACCTCTGCGCAGTATAAACGCTAATGACAGGCAACGCCTCATGTAATTAAGTGTTATAAATAACAAATTTTTAAATTACTCATTTTGAAGGTCTTATCCCCCCTGTCTGATTTCCCTGAATAAGCCAATGCTGAATGCCTGAAATCATTGCCCCTGGATTTTACTTAGAAGTCATCACCACATGTTGGTCTACATGTTTGCAAAAGAAACGTTTTCTAGAGAAGGAAAATGTTACTTCGGCTTTTATTTTGACAAAACCATCAATGACATCGTTTTAGAAAGTCATGAAAGCATAAAAGGCCAGCGTGGAAACAAATAAGAGGAAAGCACAGCAAACCGGTCCACAGATTTCACCTGACCTCTTTAGACCCCCATTCCTCCGCAAAGCCCTCCATCTCTATAGACCTTGTGAATGGGATGGGGGTCCTTCATGCAACGTCAAACCACCTGCACAGAAGGCAAGGCGTAAAGCTGATGCAGAAACCCAACTTGCACAGGCCAGATCGGTGTGCCCCGAGTCCAGAGAGGTCTCTGTACCTCCCGACTCCAGAGCAGAGCTGTTTAAGCACTTTCCACAGAGGAGGAGGTGGGTGCGAACCACAGCCATCAATCAAAGCATCCCAAGTGGGTTCCTACACAAACACACTACCTCTAGGAACTGATTTTCCGGGTTGACTACACTACTCAAACAAAGACAGATTTCCCAGATACTATCAATATATCCACGTGTGTGTGTGTGTGTGTGTGTGTGTGTGTGTGCATGAAAGTTAAACAACATACAGGGTGTTTCTTCTAGAAATATAAATGTTTCTGTTCCATACGCTGCCAAACACACCCCCAAGGGCAGGTCTTCGCAAAATGAAACAGGTTTGCACGCCGTCCTTCTCGTATTAACTTAAAAGCAGTTTATTTCGACATGTGCATAACAGAAACTACGACATAGTTGGTGCCTCTCTGGGTGCCTTAAGAATGCTTTCTAGTGAAGGGCTAATGTTAAAATCATCCAGAACTTTTCTGACGTTCCCTTTCGCCTGGTCCTAAAAGTTGAACCGGCCCTCCCTACCCTATCCGTTTTCAGCTAAAGCAGACTACTCAAAGCAACAACAACAAAAAACCAAGCTTTAAAAGGTAATAAATAGGATGTTTTCAGGATTATACCAAGAACAAACCCTTTTTAATCCCCAGCCCTCTCCCATCTCCTCCATCTCCTCCATCTCCTCCTCCACGTCCTCCTCCTCCTCCTCCTCCTCCTCCTCCTCCTCCTCCTCCTCCTCCTCCACCTCCTCCTCCCGGACACTGTCCACTAGGTAATGCCAAGTGTCAGCTGAGAGTCTGAGGGTCATGGCATCAGCAGCATTGGCCTCTTTCATCGCGGCCGGCCACACACCAGACTGAGCACCAATCTCATGTTACCTTGAAGTCCGACCTCCTGTTTCTCGGGGTGTCTGATATGGAGGGGTGCAGGGGCTGCTGCGTTTCTGTGCATGAGGTTCTCCGGATTCTAGATCTCAGCTGGAAGGCAGCCTTGCCCTCCGAGCACCTGCCACCCTCTGGAGTCCGGCCAGGAAGGACAAGCTTTCCGGAGCAGCCTCCTCCTGGTGGACAGCCTTCCACCTGACGTGGTGGGGTCGGGAGGGGTCCGGAGGAACAAGGAGGGGAAGATCCGGGAGTCCCTTGAACCAACCCCCCCACCCCCCCCCCCACCACCCACCTCTGTGATTTATGACTGACAGTCCTAGATGTGGAGTGAAAAGCCACAAAGGTTAGAAGCTGCGGGCTGGACTCAAGAGCGAGCTGCTGCAACGGATGGAGAACTGAGAAGAGGCAACCCCGGGAGAGAGCTTCTGGGGAAGGCAAAGGGGCTCCCGGGGCTGGGCAGGCGAGCGTCTGTGTGACAGCAGAAAGCCAGACCCCGTGCGCGACGTTCCTCCCGCTCGCCCCGCAGACGCCAACGAGGAGGGGCGGGGACACCCGCTCCCCGGGGACGTGCCGGCGCCCCTGCTCCCCGCCAGGTTCGTCCCACCTGCCGGGCGGGTCGCTGTCACTGACACCCCGCCCTCCACCACGAGGCGGCCCCCCAGTGTCTCCGCCCGAGCCCCCGACCCCGCGCCCCAGGGCCCGCCGGCCGCCCTCCGCGACCGCCCCGTCCCCCCACCCCCGACCCCGCGACGAGACCACCGCGCACCTCTCGACGGCCCGGCGGAGCCCCCAGATCTCTCGCGGCAGCCGGCTCCCGGAGCCGCCCCAGGTCATCCCGCGCGGGCGGCTACGGCGGCGACAGCGATCCGAGCGGCCTCCACGCGCCAGGCGGGGGCGGGGCGGGGGCGCGGGTCCCCGCTCTCCTAGCGCCGCGCCGCGCACCCGGACTCGGGGGAGGGAGCGGGGCGGAGTCACGGCGCGCGCCCCCGCCGCGGCGCCTGCCCGCCCGCCCGCCCTCCCGCCCAGGCCCCGGCGCGCGCGAGGGCGCGTGACCCGGCCCAGCGGGAGCGCGCCACGAGGCCGCCCCGCCCCGCCCCGCCAGAGGGTGCGCGCGCAGCCGCAGGCTCCACGGCGGAGGACGGGACGTACCAATATGCAGAGGGGGGGACGCCATGGGCAGGGCCACCTCCAGTCCCCTTCCTGCTTGCCTACAAGAGCTCCCCTCCGGTAAAAAGAGAAACATTTCTGCTTTTATTTATGGCAGGTGAGAAGGACGTGACTCAGCAACTCCAGGAGATTGCCACAGGCCTGCACTCACTCTTCTGTCCCTTTATGGTCCCCCCGAAGAAGCGGCAGTGGAGCGGTCCACAAGGGTCCGCACGTCCCCCGGCGCCCCGCCCGCGCCCCGCCCACGCCCCGCCCCTAAGTTCTCGGAGGCGCTCCCGACCTGTCTGTTCTCTTTCACTCATTTTTTAAATTGTTGACAATATTACAAATGTCCTCCATTCCTCATACTCTTGGCTCCCCTTCACCCCGCCCCCGCCCTACCCAGGCCTTCACCGCACTATTATCTGTGTCCATGGGTTCTGCACCGATGCATATAAGTTCTCTGGTTAATCCCTTCCCTGACCCCCACCCCTGATCTGTCTCTCTCCACTGTTACCTGGTGTTTCTGTCTCAGGGTTCCAGCCTCCCGCCGCTATGGTTCCGTCGCCTTTTCATTACTTTCGATGTTCTAGTTTCTTCTGGTTCCACAGCCTACCCTCCTGCCTTCACAGTCGCGCCAAACTGGCAACAGAACTTAGACTGGGAGTGAGCCTCTGTCCTGGAGAAGCCTGCGTGGCCTTTGGGCCCAGAGTCTAACCAGCTTGTCCTTGGACTTGTCCCAAGTTATTTGATCTCACCGAACTTCAGTGGTTCAAACAGAAAAAGGGGAAAATAATTTCATTTAAAAGGTTGACGTGAAGCATAAATATGATACTGTGGGATGGGGGGACGGGGAGAGAAAAAAAGATTTTTTTCTGACCTTCTAAGTTCTCCTACCTGGGCTAACACGTTTAACAGACAGACCAAGAGGAGAAAATGCCCCAAGTTCATTAGGGATCTACCTGCAGTGGTGCCATGAGATGTAAGAACCAAAAGACACATTAGGCAATTGAGGTGTACGTGCCATTTTGGATAAAAGAGAAGGGGAGGGTGGGATTTCAAAAGGAAAGAGGGTAGTTCACAGGTAGACAACATGTTCTTTCTGGGCAACCCAGATCAGTGGAATCCAGAAGGAAGTTCAACAAAAACCAGGCTTTGCTAGATTTCTTCCTATCTGCCCCATTTCATTCATGGGTGCTCAGGTGACATTCCTAAGGGTTCCTTCCTGAAGCAGGTTTTTCTATCTGAATTCACTTTACAAACTGTCCACTAGGTACTGCCAAGTGTCAGCTGAGAGTCTGAGAGTCATGGCATCAGCATTGGCCTCTTTGTTCTAAAGATGTATCCCGATTGGGACTTTTTTTTTAAATGCTGCGGGACATGGGACAAATTGTTAAAAATCGGGACTGTCCCTCCAAAAGCGGGACGTCTGGTCAACTTACTCTAAAATAGGGGTGTCGAACTCAATCAGAGAAGGGGCCAAAATCTAAAATCCAGCCTAAATCACGGGCCGAATGGTTTACTGAACAGTCATAAACTGTCATTGTGATGGAAACGCAGCGGAGTGCAGTAATGACAGCGCGGTGTGGGCCACATTGCAAGGCCTGGCGGGACGGATTTGGCCTGCGGGCCTTGTGTTTGACACATGTGCTCTAAAAGTACTTATGGAGCACTTACCCTAGGCCACTGCTAGGCAAAGCGATACATAGAGAAATATCACACCGTCCCAAGCTTCAAAGAGCCCACAATTCAAATGGATAAGTATCACGAGACATTGGCACAATGAAAGGGAGCACAAGGGCAGTGTTGCTAAGCATTGACCTATGAACCAGGAAATCATGGTTTGATTCCCAGCCAGGTTGCATGCCTGGGTTTTGGGCTCAGACCCCAGGGTAGGGCATGCAGTAGGCAGCCGATCAATGATTCTCTCTCATCATTGATGATTCTAGCTCTCTCTTCCTCTCTCCTCCTCTCTGAAATCAATAAAAATACTTTTTTTTTTAAAGTCAATTGGCCCAGGACCTTTTTCCTTACTTGCTGCTAAAGGTTCCAAACCTCAAAACTCCTGTGACCCCCACAATAAGTGGGACCCAGAGGCTTAAGCAGTCACAGACGTCATTTGTCTCCATTTGGATGTCTTCCAAATTTATACAACCAAGTTCCCATCCGATATGCAGGAAGTGCTGATTATTTATGAGGAAATTTAATATTGACATGTTATTAAATCACCCGACCCTCCTCTGGGCATTATGGAATTGTACATCTAAGGACGGCAGGATAACTCTCCTCCCAAGTCTAGAAGGCTGGTCATCAACAGTTTTCCTCGGTAAGATTGATTTCCTTCCAAAAGAAATTCAAATCAATCCCACTGTCTTCTCCCCGTCTTGAGCATTTCCTGAAGTGCATGCAAGAGGATTTCACGGAGAGGGTATTTCTATGCCCTTTTTTATGCTGAGCAGGCTAAGCTCCGGAGACACACTGCTTAAACCCATTACACACAGATCACCTAACTCTGTGGCTGGGTTTGTGATGCTAGATTCATTTACCCACACCCCAGGTCGGGGGGGTGGGGGGGGTGCGACTTTACACATCTTCTCTGCACTAGCAAAGAATGTGGGGATCGTTTTACAGGAAAGAGAAAGACAGGTCTGTCCCGGAGGCCAGCCCTGGGTAGATACAGATGCCACCTTCCCTGTCACTCAGGAGCCCCTGTCTGAGACATGAAAGAAAGCCAGGGGCCCGAGAGAGAATGATGAGGAGACAGGGATATTCACAAAGGGCGGTGACTAGCGACTGGGTAATCTGAGGCTGGATGGCCTCACAGGGAAAGCATTGACATGAGGATTGGGAACCCTGTCCGGTATCATTTATCCCCGCATTTTCCTGCTGTCTGCTGTGTGAACCTGTGCCAACCACTTGGTCCCTACGGTGGAATTTCCTTCCTTCCGAGAAGAAAAAAATGAGTGACAATGTGACCAGGTCTCTAAGAGGTTGGCATTGTTAGAGCGAATTCTGGCAACTTCCACAGCTCTCGCGTAGGTTGGAACAAAACAAAATGCCGCCATGATGTCGTAACCGTCGCTTGGAGGATTTGGTTTTAAGTCCCAAGGGCACCCAACACATAAGGCGTCTCTGACCGTGCCAGCCTAGGACGGGCTGGAGGTCTCCTGTTTGGTCCGATTGTCCATAAGGAGTATGGGCTTGGATGAGTTTCCTTATCAGAAAAACAGGTATAAATGTCCCGAAGGTTGCCAGGTTGTTTTGAGAATGTGAAGTAAAATAAGGCTCCTTGTATAGTGGCCAACAGAGTAGGCATGCCATACGTGACCCTTCTGATCATGCGTCGGCTTCGTTTAGACAATCTTCGTTCTTGGTCAATTGTAAATATTTCTCTCTCCCCCTTTTTTTTTAAATTTATCATTATTGTTGGAAAGTATGACAGATGTCTGCTTTGTGTGTTTTTTCTGTTGGTTCCCCTGCCCCCATGGACTCCCCTCCTCCCCACACTCGCCCTTCCCAAGCCTTTGTCACATGATTGTCTATGTCCATGGCCTATGCCTATATGCATAGGGTCCAGCGCTGACATCACTATGAAAGGAGAAGCATGGCCTTGAGTGTGTAACACTTACCCTTACTCACCCTGCTTCCCCTGGTCACCCCCCATAACCGGCTCCCACCCACAACGTCTTCTTTTGTTTTCAGCTGAAGGTGGTATTTCAGGGAGTGGCTTCCACCATTTTGGCCAGTTGCTCACTGTTCCTGGGCCTCGCCCACGTAGACGGAAGGTATATGTGGTATGGGACTTGAATTTGGTTTTCTCCTGCTAATCTGTCTCTTGTTAATTTGAGTAGTCGTCCAGCCAGAACCTCGAAGGGGAGCGGATAATGTTTTCCTCCCCAACAAGGCCCAAAGCACTTTCTCTGCTTGGACAGCAGTGCTCTGGGGCTGACATTAGCAGTCCCTCTTCCTGTCAGAATGGCCCCAGGCTGGGAGGGGAAAGGAGAAGACAGTGCAGGAGCCCATTCCCAGGCCCCCTCGTCCTCCTCCTCAGGCCCTCACCTGCATTCACCTCTTTCCCACTCCTCTATTGGTTTCATTTCAGATTTGCCCAAAGTTCAATATTGAGCCAATTATTGAATCTGGCTCCTCCTGGGACCTTGACAAGGGGCTTCCACCTTGACTAAAGCACTGTGCCTGGGCAGATTCTGTGCTTTGCATCCTTTACCAACGCCCATGGGCAGGGCCAAAATAAAGCAAACCAACACACAATGTCTAGATGTAACCTCAAGACAAGCTAGCGAGATGCTGAGAAGCAACAGACCAAAACTGTAAGTCATGCAGCTTCTCTCCCAGGCATCAGTGTCTTTCACGCCTGGTCACGGGGCATGTAATCTCGAGGGACCCTTCCAGACTGAGAAGGCTGACTTTATTGTCCTCTAACCCGAGAAACGTGTCAGGACCTCTCTGAGGTGTTCAAGCCATCTAGACAGAGCCACGTGGTCGGTCTGCAGCGGGAAGTCACCAGGAAGAAGGTCATTCTCTGGCTTCTCTTCCCAGCAACGTTAGCAGCGACAGTTTGGAGCTGTGGCCCCACGTTTTTTTCCTCCAGAGCCTGGTTCCACGCATTCTCCCATCCTCAGGTGGCCCCAGAGATGGCTCGGAGGTGCTGCACTCTCCACGCACCTGGGGAAAGGAGCCAAAGGCACAGAGCAGTGGAGTAGATCACCTTTCCTCTTCTTAACTCGTTCCCCTCTATTCCTCTTTCTGCCTTTAAACGCTGCAATGGCCAGCGTTCTCCACTTCAGTCAGCTTGCTGATGTTTAAGTATAATGAGTTTATTCAATGGCATTGATTAAGCACCTACAAGGTATTATCAAGCAAAGCGAAACATTTCTACGCTTCTAGGGGTATGCCTCCTGCTTCCCGAGAAAGGCCAGTCTATACCGTCCCACCATTCTGGTGAGTAGCCAAAGACCAGGCAGGTCAGCACAGGCTTATCCGGCTTTTTCTAGTTGCCTCTCCCTAGCGTGGCAGCTGTGGGAGAAGACAATAGCGTCTCTGCCCTTGAGACACGTAGTCTTTTTGATTAGTTAAAATACACACTATCTCGTACCTACTTAAGAGCCAGGCACAGAGTTGTAAGCACTTCCAATATGCCCTCATTTAACATTCCTGTGAAATGGGCATTATTCTTCCTACTTCACATGAGGAAACGGGGGGCCTTGAATTTGGGGACAAGGTGGCACAGCTCCAGAGCACAGAGCCGGTGAGCAGGTGAGCTTCAGAATCCGCAGGTAACCCCTGTGCTACGCAGCATTCCGGTGGGCCTCCACAGCCATGAGGAGGCCAGGCAAGGCAGTGTAGACGCAGAAGCTCCTCTTGTCCTGGTGTAGACTGCGGTTACGGACTTAAAGAACAAGGAAGAAACGCGTCTTGGAAAAAAGAGGCACAAAAAGAGCTGGTTGGACTGTGTGAAGGCCATGAGGTCACGGGGTCCACATGCAGAATGAGGGGTCACCTGGACATCCGGAAGAGAAGCGAAGAAATCGGGCGAGAACCTTGCCTGACTTAAGAGCAGGGAAAAGCCCTGGCTGGTTTTGGCTCCGTGGAGAGAGCATCAGCCTGTGTGCGGACTGAAGGGTCCCAGGTTCGATTCCCCTCAACGGGTTGTGCCTGGGTTGTGGGCTCAATCCCCAGTAGAGGGTGTGCAGGAGGCAGCTGATCAATGATTCTCTCTCATCATTGATGTTTCTCTCTCTCTCTCTCCCTTTCCCTTCCTCTCTGAAATCAAGAAAATATTTTAAAAAAGAAAAAGAGCAAGGAAAACAGTAAGGTCCTCTCTGCAAAAGGATGGTGCCGATGGGCGCTCCCTCCTGGCTTTGAGAGGGTTCCAGTGATGCCTTGCGCATCAAAACTCGGCGTAAGTGTTAGCCACCCTGTTGTTATTATTGTTCTTGGATGAACTTTTGCTGGGGGACTGGCTGGAGTGGGCAGACAGGGGCCTGACGTATGCTGGTGTCTTAGGCTAGCGGCTGCACACACTGCACACCTTTGTTCCCGGCGAGGCAGCACGATGCTCTCATTTCCAACCCACTTGTAAAGTCTGCGATGGAAAAAGCGGGCCGGCCCTTAGGGAACTCAGCGCCAGGCCCAGGACTCGGCTGCGCTCTCGCTCAATCTGCTGGCAGAGGAGCGGCAGGCCACCTGGTGGGGGGAGGCCCTGAGGCAGGTGACCTCATGGGGTCCCTTTTGACCAGGGCGAGGGCCTGAGTCTGTGATCCTGTAAACACCGCACCCCCTGGGCGTTTCTTGTGGCTTGTTCTTTGTTCCCGAAGAGCCTGGGCCATTGGGAGAAGCCTGCAGAATGTTAGAAAGCTGTCACCTCCAGAGTAAAGGGGTTCTGTTACCCAGCAGATCGGCAAGGCAGGGCGAGGCATGCGCCTGCGTGAGTCAGGGTTTATGTAACGTCCGCGGCCCTGGCAGGTTTCTGAGGGATGAAAATGTTTTCTGCAAACAGAGCCCCGTCCTGTCTCGCCCCACGCTCCTTCCCGGCCAGGCCTGGAGCGAGCGGTTGGCAGAGGCCGCTCGCAACGGGCCGGGCGGACGAGATACTATCTCCACCGTCCCTTGTAACACGAAACATTTATTTTGCAGCAAGTGGATCCCACGTGGAATGGGGTCCAAGATTTCGGAGAGCAAGAGGCTGGATCTGCCCCTTGCTGGACTGCCCGATTGGCTGACCTTCTGCCCCTCCTGGTCCCTCCAGCAGTGCCCGGGCTCCCCCTGCCAAGGGTGCCATTTGGAAGGCAGTTCTAGGGGCACCAAGCCACCCCTGCCTCAGGCCCAGAAGTTAGGGAAACAAGAAGATGAGCCAGCACTCAGCAATGAGACCGACTCTGAAGGGCAAAGCCAGATCTAGTAACTCTGTCCCCCTCCTGGCCTTCGCCCTCTAGGAATTCCCTGGGGGACCCAAAGCCCCCGAGTATGGGCTTAACCCACATAATGGCCTCTGTGGACATGTGGGACCCCACTCCCAAGCAGCAAGATGATGACGTTTCACGGCCTGTGACCACTGAGGAAGTCTCAGAGCAGACAGTTCCTGGCTGCCCTGGCCTCAGAGCCCGGTGAAATGCTGGCGCTTAGGAGAGACCTGCCCTGGGCAAGGTATTGAATCCCCGTAGCTGCAAAATGGGGATAATGATAGCACCTCCCCCTCAGCTTTTGTGAAAATTCGAACAGTAAGCTCAATGCGTGCCATTGCTACATGACGATTGTTGTGAAAGGCGAGTATACACTGAGTGGCCAGATTGTGATGATCTCTGAATGCATAATATTCTGGCCACTCGGTGTACATCCTATATAATAAAAGGCTAATCTGCAAATTATCCCCTTGACCAGGAGTTCCACCAGCAGGCAGGGCGGCCAACCACCCATGTCCCCTCCCCCTGGCCAGGCTGGTTGGACCCCACCCATGCACAAATTCATGTACCTCTAATATATTTATACTGAGTGGCCAGATTATTATGCATTCAGAGATCATAATAATCTGGCCACTCAGTGTAGTTCCCTCTTCACCACCCAGCAGTCATTGCCACCTGCTCCCAGCATCTCTCTGTGCCTAAGGCTGGGCCCAGGCTCTCTGTCCAGGAAGCTTCACCTTCCTCTCGCATCAGAGCTGGCGTGGGGCTGTCTCTAGAGCTCCTGGGACTTATAACCAATGTCTGTGCATGGGGCTCCCAGCACCAGCCCGGACCACTCAGCAGCCTCCGCAGTTATTTAAAACACAATTATTGTCCAAACTCTTCCTTTTGAGGAAAGAGACATACAGATAAAAAAAAGCCCTGATAACCACGGTCCGGAAATATTAAAGGGAAAACTGCAGAAATAAACACTTCCTATGTTTTCAGCTGCACAGTTTCTGAATATCGTGTGAGAATCTCTCACTGTCCTGCTCCATCCCCGCCCGGGAGTCACTTAGGGGCCATCTCGGTTGTCAGAGCAACTGTCACCGTGGTGTTGCGGTGCTTGCATTCAAGTCACCCTTACAGTCACCAAGCACTACATCATCCACCTCCCTTCATCTCATCTCCCAGGCATTGTGCCATCCCGCATCATCACAAGAAGGGTGGGTGCAATACAGTAAGGTATTCGGGGAGAGAGTCCATAGTCACATGACTTTTATGGTAGTGTGTTGTTATAAATGTTCTATTTTGTTACTCATTATTCTTCCTCTCTTAGTGTGCCTGATTTGTAAATTAAACTTCACCATAGGTTAAGGTGACCAGACGTCCCGCTTTTGGCGGGGCAGTCCCGATTTTTAACAATTTGTTTCACGTCCCATGGTGTTTAAAAAAAAGTCCCGATTTTTGGAAAGATTTTTTTAAATTTTTTGGACTTTTTTTTAAATGCCGCGGGATGCGGGACAAATTGTTAAAAATCAGAACTGTCCCGCCAAAAGCGGGACGTCTGATCACCTTACCATAGGTGTGTATGTATAGGAAAGAACATAGTGTGTATAGGGTTAGGTCCTATTCGTGGTTTCAGGCATCCACTGGGGTCTTAGACATAAGGTGGGGGAAGGAGACTACTGTACTTTCGGGAGCTGTAAATCCCAGAGATGATTTACAACCAGAAAATGTGCCAACTCCTCGTTTATTTCCCATGTACCTCTGGCTTATTGAATGCTGTTTACATCCGTTTCTCAATCTGAGCACAATCGATGGGTGGACCTTTGTTCTGGAGGCTGCCCTGTGTAGGGCAGCGCGTTCAGCAGCATCCCTGGCCTCCCCAGCTCTGCCTTCCCCCCTTCTTTCCCCCCACCTCCCACCAGAGGCCAGCAGCACGCACTCCTCCCGTTCTGACCATTTAAAATAGCTCTGGACCTTGCCCATGTCCCTATCAGATTTAGCAAATAAAATATGAAGATATATTTCATCTGGCAACCTTACTCTGGGTACATCAGGTCAAGAACCAGTGGCTACGGCCCTAGTTGGTTTGGCCTAATAGATAGAGCATCGGTATTTGGACTGAAGGGGCCTGGGTTCGATTCCAGTCAAGGGCATGTACGTAAATTCCACCTGCAGTCAGACATTCCTGAGCACTGGACCACCAATTAGCACCTGCCAAATACCCTAAGCCCCCATTCCTAAGTTCCTAGGTCCCTCATCAAGTGCCTTACATGAAACCACCAATCAGCGTGTGCTGAGTACCCTAAGCCCCATGCCCTCTCTTTCCTTAAAAGGTGCCTGCAGCCGAAACCGGTTTGGCTCAGTGGATGGAGCTTTGGCCTGCGGACTGAAAGGTTCCGGGTTCGATTCTGGTCAAGGGCATGTACCTTGGTTGTGGGCACATCCCCGGTAGGGGGTGTGCAAGAGGCAGCTGATGGATGATTCTCTCTCATCGATGTTTCTAACTCTCTATTCCTCTCTCTTCCTCTCTGTAAAAAATCAATAAAATGTATTTTTGAAAAAGAAGCTGCTCCGGTTGAGATGTGTGAGAGTGAAGAACCACAGGGTTTGGTGCCAGGCCCTGTGCCTGATGAGTTCAGGTCCATTCATTCACACGATGACTATGTGAGCCGTTCTTAGCAACCCAACCCCTTCCAAAGGCGAGGACACTGAGTCTCGGAGAGGGCCGCGGCTCCGGCATCCCCCACGTGGGTGACTGATCTCAGTGTTCTCTCCGTCAGTCGCAGCAGCTGCTGAATGGAGCTCAGCCTCCTGTAGGGGCTTCATGTTTAGGAACATTCGGAAGGCCCCATTCCCACCCTTTCCAACCCTTCTGTGCCGACCCTTTGATAATTGGGACGTGGATTGTTCCAAGGGCCAAACTAGACATTGTCCCACAAACTTGTCCACCCACACAGCTCTGAAAGCATCTCTTGGAGAGAAGGAATAGCCGGGGGAGGGGGGAGGGGAAGGAGGGGACAAGAGCAGCAGGGGTGCGAGGTCCCAGTCTCCCACAGCTCAGCAGCCAACGTCTGGACAGACAAAAGGCAGAGCTAGGGGGAATGGGGGTAGGGAGGGGTATTTCCTTGCTCTATCACCCAGCTCAATGGGGCATTCTGGATCCCTGCCCTCCAATGTTCAGGACCTTTTAAACAGACCTCAGCTGTGGCCCAAAGCCCTTACCTCACCCGAGAGGGCTCGATTTGCATGAGAATGACCTCTCTGGGTGAATTATTGCTTAATTAAAGAACAGCAATCACTTTAATTAGCATGTCTCCTTGCTCCCTGGTACTTCCATCGATTCAAATGAGCTCCTCATTAGGTCCTGGCACTTGGACAAATCTGGGGCCTCTGGCTGCAAAGGGAGGCGGCCCCAGCCAGGACCTCAGTGACAGGGAGGCCCAGCCCCGCCAAGAGCACAACCCGGGCTTTGTGAGGAGGGCGGCAGACAGGGCCTGGGCCAGCACCATTTCAGGGCCCGCAGCCCAGCTCCACGGGGAGGGCCAGGCCGGGGCGGTGGCATCTGCAGGTTTCCCTGGCCCCTCTCCCCGCTGTCCACTCGAGCTACACTTCTCTGTTCAGCTCATTTGACCTTAACATTAGCTGCCTTACACCACTATCCTGCTCTTCCCAGGAAGGTTTTGAGATTCTTCCTATCACCTTAATATTTCTTTCTCTCTCTCTCTCTCTCTCTCTCTCTCTCTCTCTCTCTCTCTCTCTCTCTCTCTCTCTCTCTCTCTCTCTCACACACACACACACACACACACACAAACACACCCCTGAATCTGTTATCATCTCAGTGCACCTTCGATTCTTCACTCGCAGTTCTAAAGTGCAATGTTCCCTTTTAACTGGCAGTGTAGCGGGGAGAGCGCATAAAACAAACACAGAGAAGGAAAACCACCTGCCCTAAAGCTTCTCTTCCCTGCGATCTAGGAAGCTATCCAGGGACCACTTATGCACACAGGTCCTCGAGAAGCATCTCCAGAAATCTGGGCCAATGGGGACTCTTCCGCCACAGCTCAATCTTCCTTCGTTATTCACAAAATACCCGTTATCCTCTAGGCCGCTGGACAACCACCGCCTGCAAAGTACATGTCAACCTAACTCTACTTTGGTACTTCTCTTGAACTTTTCCAGAAAAACTTTTCTAGAATAAGGGCAAGAGCCTCCCCTCCAGGGGGGAAAAAAAAAAATCTTTTTTTTGCCTGGATGTCAATGTACCTAAAATCAGTTGGCCTCCATCCTCCTTCCTACATCACATGCCTACACACACTCTCTTTTTTTTCTCTCTCTCTCCACCCCTAAGGCTTTTATATCAATGACTGGAGGCCCTGTGCACAAGTTTGTGCACAGGTTGGGTTCAGCCAGCCCACCCTGATCTGGGATGGGAAGAAGGGCTATGGGCAGTTGGCAGGCCAGCCCTGCCCCCCTGATCAGGGTTTGGGGAGCCTTCAGGGCAGGGCCAGCCGTGGGGAGGGGCTGCAGGCTATTGGCCGGCCCCACCTCATGGTTGAACTCCCTGTTGAACTCCTGGTCTAATTCCCAGTCGAGGGGACAATTTGCATATTAGCCTTTTATTATCTATGTTGATGATACTGTTGTAATTGCCAGTTATTGATAAGGAGAAAGGAGAAAAGGGAAAGCCAGGCATGATGGGCATCTCATTGGGGCAGCTTCACCAGGAAGCTGTAACTTTGCACTCAATTGGGGAACCACCAGCCCATTCCCTGCAAATCACTGAGAGGAAGGGGCCCAACAGAAAGGGGAGATGGACACCTGCACAGAGAAGCTGGGGTCATGTAGGGAACGTGCCTGTCAGTCAAACCTGGGAACAGAGATCATTGGCTAGAGGGGGTGGGGCTCACCCCAAGCCCAGGAGAATTTAGGGATACATAATCCCCAAGCAAAGGCATTTGTTCTCTTGGCTCTTGATGTTCTTGGCTCTGGACTCTGGTGGCTCTCTTGCATTTATTTGCCTGTGTTTCCTCCACAACCACGTGGCCCTGCGGACCCCACATGCCATGGACTGCTGAACTGCAGTGGCGAGCACAAACAAAGCCAGCCTGATGCTGGATGGAACTGGGATCCAAAATGGCATGGAAACTCTGGGCAATGGCTTTCACCCTGGCTCTGTCTGAAGCAAAATGGGACATCTTGGTTGGAGGGACAAAGAAAAATGGGACCTTGGAAACTCAGGGGTTGAATTCCAAGGAAATAAAGTCTCTGCAGTATTTCATCTTGCTCATGCGAGTCTCAGAACGTTCTTTTTCTCATGATATTGCCAGAAAACCACAAACCTGGCAACAGGTGTGGGTAAGAAATGTGGGGATGGCGACTGAGTGAGGCAAGAAGGGCATGTGTGGGCAGGGAGAGCTGGCCAAAGAGGAATAAATGCTGCTCTTGCATGATGGAGAGTGAATCAATGCCTAAATTTAAAAAATGTAAGAAATATCTAACATGGGAAAATTTAGAAGGAGTAATATCAACTTACTATTTAGTTAGGTAAAGAATCAGTAAAAATAATAGTTAAAAAATAGAGTTGAAGAAGTTACTCCTGAGATTCTTATCAAGCTTTACAGAACGCTAGGTATCTTTAAACTGTGGGCATGAAAAATTTGATTTGAAGGACACATGATCAGAAATGGAGGGAGGAGCAGGAGGGGGCGATATGAAGAGGAGGGAGAGGTCAGATGGAAAAATTGGACTCTGCTGTCGTAGGGCAAATGATTTTAATTATTTCATTTCTCGGACTTCCTCCTCCAAAAATTGGGATAATATAGTGCTCAGTTCACAGTGTTCTTTGTGTCTCTGATATATAATAACTATTATTATATTGACAGATTGGCCAAAGGATTAACCCTCGTTTTCTCTGCCTGGCAGTAGAGATAATCACTTACCTCATTACGTTGTTGAGAGATTAATTGAAGGAGCTACTGGTAAGCTAAAACCTCAAATTCATTTAAAACTAGGCAAAATATGACTTCAGGAACACCTCCCCCATAGTGCTCAGGGAGGACACGCATATGTAGAGTTTACTGTATGCCATCCCTGTGTGCTAAGTGCTTCACATGGGATCATCCCCCATTTACTGCCCCACCCCCCATCCTAACTGGAGAATGTTCTTAATTATCAGAACAGCTGCAAGTTCCTGGGTAAACAAACCAACAACAAGCATCGCAATGCCCGTGAGTCATCACATCTGGGCACTGTCAGAGACCCCAAGGACCGGAGGAGAGCACGCTCCCGGTGCTGGGCACAGCCTCTGAGTATGCCTCGCCCACTTCCGGGAAAGGTTAGTGATGCTGGAGCAAGAGGAACACAGGATTTACAGACAGTGTGCCTGGCTTCACATCTGGACTTCGCCACTGGTGAGTCAGTTCTTGGGATTCTGTTTCCTTGCTGGTAAATGGAACTAAGGATACTGACTTTATTGTATGGCTACCATGAAACTCAAATGAGATCACACATAGGTACCTGCATATGTGTATGCTCTTT